TTTTTTGAGACAGAGTTTTGCTCTTGTTGCCCAGGCTGGAGTGTAATGGCATGATCTCAGCTCACTGCAACCTCCACCTCCTGGGTTCAAGTGATTCTCCTGCCTCAGCCTCCAGAGTAGCTGGGATTACAGGCATGCATCACCACACCTGGCTGATTTTGTATTTTTAGTAGAGACAGGGTTTCTCCATGTTGGTCAGGCTGGTTTTGAACTCCTGACCTCAGGTGATCTGCCTGCCTGGGCCTCCCAAAGTACTGGGATTACAGGCGTGAGCCACCATCTATGTCAAATCTTTAACAAGATTTAACACCGTATTTAACAAGGTATTTACAGGAAAACATATTCAAAAAGCTTTCTTCTCACTCAAAATAGTAATAGTATTAATTATATTTATTAACTATACTAATATGTCATGCTATTAAATTATAATTATACAATTGATAATTATAAAATTAATATATTTATTAATGTATTACTATATTCTATTTTGAGTGAGGACAAATTGCAACATTAATATCATTTCAAAATACTATATTTTAAAATAAAAATATTTATATATTTTTTACATTCTTTATGTTTCCAAATGTTTTATAATGTACATTATATCAGTACAGAATATGCATATTATTCTTATTGGAGTACCTGTTCAGATGTGTTATTGATGGAGTATTTCTCCAACTGGGTTGAGACTGCTGCCTTAAGCTATTTCTTTTTTTTTGTTTGTTTGTTTGTTTGAGACATAGTCTTGCTTTGTTGCCCAGGCTGGAGTGCGGTGGCATGATCTTGGCTCACTGCAACCTCTGTCTTCTGGGTTCAATGATTCTCATTACAGGGGGGTGCTACAACACCTGCTTAATTTTTGTATTTTTAGTAGAGACAGAGTTTCACCATGTTGGCCAGGCTGGTCTCGAACTCCTGACCTCAAGTGATCCACTCACCTCAGCCTCCCAAAGTGCTGTGATTATAGGTGTTAGCCATCACATATTTCTTTTGTTTTAAAACTGCTATGTTAAATAATAACAATCTCCTGAAAGACAGAATAATATAATGCTTAGGAAAATGAATTCTGGAGCCAGACTCCTTGGGTTCACATCCTGACTCTGCTGCTTATCCTCTATGTAACTTTGGGTAAGTTATTCAACCTTTCGATGCTCCACTTTTTTCAGCTTTAGGATGGGATGATGATAATATTATGCCTCATAGAGTTTTTGGGATGATTAAATGTGTTAAATATAAAAAGTACTTAGAATATTACCTGGCATGGTGTTAGCTGTTGCTTTATCATCATTTAATGTAAAACCTGGGATTGGTTAGGACAAAGGATTTTGTTCTGCAGATATCTGATCAGGAGGTAAAGATAGCTACATGTCAGCAGTAAATGCGCTTGACCCTGGAGAGAGTTACTGTTCCTGATCCTTGACCTTAGGCAGCCACTATATCTTCTCCAAACCCACAGGGTCCTTTTGATACTGCATTGGTGGTCTCCTTCAGTCTGCTTACTGAATAAGCTTCAGTAATGCTCTTCAGGGAACTGGAAGACATAGATAGGCCTTTGGTTTGATTTGAGAGTGCAATGGGATAATCTAGTTTCTGTTTTCTCCATTTGACAAAGTAAAATGGTTTAAAGAATCTTATTAGTTAAATGTGATTAAACTATTGATTTTTCCTGTCTTTTAACTGAATCCTATTTATTTTGAAAGATTTTAAGTCCTAACCTTTCCTTTTTGAATAATTCTATTTACATTTCTATAAATTACTATTTTCCTTTTGAAGTCATTGGAACATATATTAAAAGCACTTTTCAAAAAGAAGGCAATGTCTTTATGGAGGTTAGCGGTACTGCCAGTCACCTTGTTTGCTCACTTCTGGGTTATCTTGAACCATGCAAAAGGACAACAGTTAGATTTGCATTAAAAGATGTCTATATGTTGATATATTTTGGTGTTCTTATTATGAAAGCACCTTTAAATATATTCCCTTCACTAGCCCTCTTAACCCTTTGATGATTAAATAGATTTAACATGATAGTTTTGTGAAAATTTTCAGGCCTTTTCTATGCATATATAGATGTTACACATGTGCTTGTTGTTATTTTGCATATGGCATCATATTCTGTATGTTATTCTGAAACTTACTTTGCTTTTTGCCTCTTAAAATGTATCGTGGAACATTCTTCCATGTCAGAAGCTATATAGATTTACCCAATTATTTTACTGGCTGTATCATATTCCATCATGTGGATACTCTACAACTTATTTACAATTTTATTATTTATGAGCTTTTTGGTTACTTTCCTATTGTGTCAAACTTTTATACGACATTTTTTTCTTTTCTTTTTCAGGGTTACCTTGGCTTTCATTGGGATCAGTTTGCTGGTTATAGGAACTACGCTGGTTGGGCAGCTGCCAGATAGCAGGTAAAATGTTTCCTTCCATACAGCCATAAGTAGGACTATCTTTTTTCTTACCCCTGTCCACAAAGAGAATATTTGTTTGATTCCTATGTATTGTATTAATTTTTTTTTTTTTTGAGATGGAGTATTGCACTGTCACCTGGCCTGGAGTGTAGTGGCGCGATCTTGGCTCACTGCAACCTCCGTCTCCCAGGTTCAAGAGATTCTCCTGCTTCAGCCTCCCGAGTAACTGGGATTACAGGCGCCCACCACTAGACCCAGCTAATTTTTTTTGTATTTTTAGTAGAGATGAAGTTTCACCATGTTGGCCAGGCTGGTCTCGAACTCCTGACCTTGTGATTCACCCATTTTGGCCTCCCAAAGTGCTGGGATTACAGGTGTGAGCCACTGTGCCCGGCTGTATTGCATTAAATTTATGTTCTTGACTCATTTATAAGAATCCTCCTCGCTTACTTCATAGTTTTTCTTTGATTTTCTATCATACTTCCATATTAATTGAAAGAAGTTTTTTCAAAGGAGAATTGAAGAGAAGAAAGAAAATGAACTGAGGGAACTAAGAGAGTCTTATATATTGGGAGGCTCATAAGGCCAAGATCAAAGAAACTTCAATTTATCTTGTTCAGGAATTTGTCATAATAGCCTAGAGGTTTTGACTACTTTTCATTAGAGTTATGTCCAGTTCTTTTGGTAGACTTTTTTGATCTAATACTAAATGTGCCAGTGAGACTATAGCAATTGAACTGTGCTGGTTTCACAGAATAGAATGCAGTATGCTGTTGTGGAAAGGCACATTAAAACTTTTATTATATTCTTTCTTAAGAGTGCCCAGAATGGTACAATAAAATGTTTCTTTTTCCTTCAGCCTCAAAAACTGGCTGAGTGAACTAGTCCATCTGACTTGCTGCCGGATCTGTGTGAGAGCCCTCTCTGGTACCATTCATTATCATAACAAGTGAGTATCTGCTGCCTCTGTGCCTGTCTTTTTCTATGTCAAATCAGCATGAGATTGACAAGGAAGCAGTGGAAGTGGGCGGGAGGAAGTGAGTAGAGTCAGACTGCTTCCAATGTGTTCATCCCTGCTTCTCAGGATGGTATAGGCATATTGCAAAAAAACACTAAACAGCAGTCTGTTTGCAGAAAGAATATAATAATAAACATGTAGTTGTTTGTGCTCAATAATTGGGCATTTATGGTGTACAGGCCAGACCCTATGTTTCTTATAGCTTATCCCTGTGAGATAGGCACTGTTAACCCATTTTATAGAAGAAGAAATGTAAGCTTTGGGATTCGTTGTTTAGGGTCACAGTGAATAAGCAATAGAATCAGGTTTTGAGCCAGGTCTGTCTGATTTTAAAAACAATGAAGTTGACAGGCCTGTAATGTGGTGGAAATAGGACTAGATGTGGAGTCTGGAAATGTGGTCTCTAGTCTTTGTCCTGCTACTTCTAAAATTCCATAATTGAGCTTTAAAACAAAATCCTGCTTTTCTTTACTAGAATTGCAGAGAATGAAGGTAGCAAAGGAAAGTCATCAGCTAGTGAAAACGATTTTGATTGCATTTGAACTACTTTTCTGTTATCTCAATTTTTTTAGATTTAACATAATTGCTTTAAAAGTTCTAGGCCAGGCTTCTCTTTTTTACTGATTTGGTTTTTCTTTCTCATTTGTAGAAGAGAAACATTTTGTCATTTGGCTTTACTATGTGGTACCAGCATGAAAGGCCCTTAAATATTTTAAATTATATGATGTTGAAATTGGACTTTGAGTTTTAAAATGAAGAGTAAAAGAAAACACTCTGGCAGAGGTGTAATCAGAAGAAACTCCTATAGAAAGGTGTACTTAGGCCAGGCGCAGTGGCTCACGCCTGTAATTCCAGCACTTTGGTAGGCCAAGGCAGGTGGATCACGAGGTCAGGAGTTCGAGACCAGCCTGGCCAACATGGTGAACCCCCCGTCTCTACTAAAAATACAAAAATTAACTGGGTGTGGTGGCAGGAGCCTGTAATCCCAGCCTTTCAGGAGGCTGAGGCAGGAAAACCTGGGAGGAGGAGGTTGCAATGAGATCACACCATTGCACTCTAGCCTGGGTGACAGAGCAAGACTGTGTCTCAAAAAAAAAAAAGAAGAGAAAAGAAAAGAAAAGAAAAGGTGCACTTATTCCATAAAGAGGAGTTCCTAACTTCTTACAGAATTGCTTCTAATTTTAAAGAAAGTATGTTAAATAATTGTGTATTTGGTTCTCTTTCTTTTCTGTACAGGCCCAAACAAAACTACTTTGCTCTATTGGTGTCAAATACTGTTTTAACTCTAGGGTAGAGATCAACAAACTGAACTGGTAGCCTATAGGCCAAATCTGGCCCACCATCTGTTTTCTGTAAATAATGTTTTATTGGAACACAGCCGTGCTCATTCATAGCCGTGGCTGCTTTTGTGTCACAACAGCAGAGCCAAGGAATTGTGACAGGCATTGTCTGGCTTGCAAAGATTAAAATATTTACTGTCTGGCCCTTGGTAAGAAAAGCTTGCCAACCTCTGCTCTGGAGGATAGGAGGGAGGAAAGTATGGTGAATTTTCTCCGCAGATTATCATGAAGCCACTAAAAGTGATGTATATGAAGATCAAAATAATATGAAAATACTTGGGATTAAATAAGTGAAAGCTATGTATTATCAATGGAAAATCATGGTCCCCTTACCACACTCTCATTATACTACCTAGGGATCACCTTTTAAAGATAGGCCCATGTATCTCCAAACTTGATTTTTAAAATATACTTAAAAAAGACTGGGCATAGTGGCTCATGCCTGTGGTCCCAGCACTTTGGGAGGCCAAGGTGGGGGGCAGATCACTTGAGGTCAGGGGTTCGAGACCAGCCTGACTAATATGGTAAAACCCCGTCTCTACTAAAAATGTAAAAATTAGCCAGCCCTGATGGCATGTGCCTGTAATCCCAGCTGCTTGGGAGGCTGAGGCAGGAGAATTGCTTGAACTCCCAGAGACAGAGTTTGCAGTGAGCCAAGATTGCGCCGCTGCACTCCAGCCTGGGCAACAGAGTGAGACTCTGTCTCAAAAATAATAATGAAAATAATAATAAATGTGCATATATATGTATGTAAGTGTATATGTGTGTGTGTGTGTGTGTGTGTGTGTTATATACTTAAAAAAATAGGATGAGTCTTCACTTGCTGTTCTGTAAAACAGTGGCATTTTAGAAGACTTAGAATTTTCCATTGCTTGTAATTGCAGGCAGCACAGACCCCAGAAGGGAGGCATTTGTGTTGCCAACCATACTTCCCCAATTGATGTTTTAATCTTGACGACAGATGGATGTTATGCTATGGTAAGAGCAGCTCGCTGCTATTTCAAGTAGTTGCATGTTTTATGGATTTTGCTCAAACTTTTTATTTTGGCACAAATTAGCAAGTTAGTTTTATGTTAGAAATTTGACTGTATTACACTATTGTGGCTCTATAGGTTATGTAATATATTTACATGACGAATGTATAGTGCAAGAAAAGGAAGGAAAATAGCCATTATATTTAAGATGGTAAAAAATTAACTTACAGAAATGCAGACATTTTTGAGCTTGATAGGGCTTTGTCAAGTTTATTCCATTTTGCTTGTAAAATCCCTGCCAGTGTTTGATAATGTTTGCAACATTACATTCTTTCTCTTTACAGTTGTACATATCCCCTAGCCAGTCAATTTGTTCTTTCTTCCTTCAGGGACTTATAGGCAATTAAAAGAAATCTGGCTCTTTGTTGAGGATCTAGCAAGAAAGGCAAATATTTATATCAGGTTGTCTTTCTCAGTCCTTGCCTGTAGCCCAAAAGAAAAGAAAATGAAACAAAACCCAAGAACAAACTACAAAGCCCACTTTAAAGCTGTATACCTCAAAACAGCCTTTCATGGGGATGGATACAGGAATCGTATACTGGCATTTTTTTGTTTCAAATCTATGTTTTCTGATGCCCTTGCAAATTTATCAAGACTTCCTGCGTATCCTTTTTTGTGTCAAGTAAATTTTGCAGGATAATTGAAGCCGCATGGTAGTTTAATATGTCTTCAGTTGGTGTTTGGAAGAGAATGCCTAACAACGGTCCTGGGGGATCGCCTTTTCTTATTTTCATGGTGCTGGGATGGGCTTCAGGGAGAGTAGATGGGTTTTATTTCACTTACCAGTTCCAGGGATTGATAGTCGTGGTCTGGTGTGCTTTTCTGAAAAGGCATTTGAAGGGAGCTGTTCTTGATTAAATGTCTGCTGCAAGCAGGAGAGTGGAGA